TGAAAGTTTCATGTTCATGGTATGTTACTTGTAATGTTAATTTTGAGGATATATGTGAGATCGATGTATATTTGAAAGCATGTAGGACAAGTGATGATGTTGATTTACGTAAAATGGCTTCGCAGATGAAAGAAAAGTTTAAGAAATATTAGGGTACTCCTGAAAAGATGAACAAATATTTTTTATTGCTTCTGTGTTGGAACCTCACAATAATTTTGGGTATGTTAGTTGACTCTTGAAGAATTACTTGGGGAAAAAAAAAAGGAAAGATAGTGAATAATAAAGTAGATGTTTACTTGAAGAAATTGTTTGCCTTCTATGTAAGTAAGTAAGTATGCAAATGGTTCTAAAAATAAATCATCTTCATCTGGATACACTTCATTTGAGTCATATGATTCAGCTAACTGTGATATTTCTCAAAATGTCGAAACAAATTCTTTGAGAATTAAATGTTACATGAAAAAACAAAAACGAAGATTCTGGAAGTTTAGGTGTTAAATCTAAGTTGGATAGATATCTTCTTGAAGACCAAGAGCCTGAGGATTTTGGTATTTCAATTTTGTTGAAAGTTAATTCTCCTAGATTTTCTATACTTCACACTTGTCTCGATATATATTGGCTATTCCTATATTGAGTGTGGCATCAAAATATGCATTTAGCACCGGTGGTCGTATTCTTGATCCATTTAGAAGTTCATTGACTCCCATATGTCTGCAATGTCTTATTGGTGTCCAATATTGGCTTAAACAAGTAACTTATCCTATTTGTGTTGAAGAAAATTTGGAGTTTCTTGAAAAAATTGAACTTGGTAAGACTTTGTATTTTTATTGGAAAAAGGTCCGAAATATATCTAAACTTTGATCAAAATTACTGTAACAATACATAACTTTGAAAGGGCCTTTTACCCCCTACACTATTTAATAGTGTATTTTAAAGTTCTATATGTTCCCACGTGGACATCATAAATATTGCATCACTATAAATAGTAATGTGTCCATGTATGCACATATATACCTTTAAAATACACTATTAAATAGTGCAGGGGTAAAAGGTCTTCCATAAAGTTTGGTATCGTAACAACAATTTTGGCCAAAGTTGGAGTATTTTTCAAACCATTTTCCCATTTTTATTTGTTTACAAAAATAAAATACTTATTTTGTTGTATGACATATTTGATTTTATTATTCTTAGAGATGGCAAATAGTGGAATAAACTCTTGCATTATTGATCTATTATTGCAAGTTTCAAGTAGTTAATAGTGGTGAGTTCAATTCGTTGTTTATTTAATTATATGATTTTTAAACTTTAAAAGTAGTATTCTAAAGTTTAGTTTTATCTTAAAAGGTTCAAGTTCAAGTGGTCAATACTCAAGAGTCAAGACAATGAAGAAATGCCTAAAGAACTAAAGTTTTGTTATTGTTTTTGTTGGCACTTGAAAGTGGTCTCTTGGAAGAAACTACGTTGTTGTTCATTATTGTTATTTGCTATTGTTGGCATTTGAAAGTGATTTCATGAAATAAACTACATTGTTACTCACTGTTATTTGTTATTGTTGGCATTTGAAACTTGAAAGTGGACTCACAGAAAAAACTACATTGGTGCATTATAGTTCTTTGATATATTGTTATTATTTTGTTGTGTAATGACATGATCAATTGATCATTGTATTTGAGAAGTGTAGTGATGTTTTATTAATTGTTAAATTACTTAATTGAATAGACTCTATACAAAACTGAATTTATGACCGTTGGGCAATTTAGTACGCGTTTCACGCGCCGTTGATCTTTTCCCAATTTTCACTGTTGGATTTACTCCGATGATGGCTGGGGTTGCGGGGAACCTCCATGAACATCCTAGCGATCCTCCTATGAACCCCAACTCCACTGCTCCCATACGCAATTATGCAAACTCTCTCTTGGCTAATAGACAACCGGTGCCCTCAAAGATGAATCTGCAATTCCGACCACCGGAAATCTACAAGGGTAAGCCACCTGTATTTTTCACACCGCAAGAAGAAGAGGAGCTCGTTAATGCTTGCCGACTGACCATCATTGATAAGTTTTCTCATGGTAGAGCTTTAATTGAAGATATTCGTAGGGATTTTTCGGCTATATTTCATATTCGAGGCACTATTAAAATTTGTCACTACAACCCTAAGCACATCTTTCTCGATTTTTCCAAAGAAGAAGATTTCAAAAACATATATTTTAGACAAAAGATCACCATTCTTGGGTCAACAATGAGATTGATGAGATGGACAAAAGAATTAGACCTGAATGAAGAAACGTCTTAGGCGCCCATCTGGATTCACCTCCCTGAACTTCCATGGCACTATTACAATTGGAGTGCTGTGAAGAGGATTACTTCTCCAATTGGCAATTTATTAACGATTGACAAAGATACTGATATTAAATCCCGACCAAATTTTGCGTAGGTAAAAGTCGAAGTTGATTTGGCTAAACCTCTAAGAGATTTTGTTTGGATTGGTGTCAAGAATGAAGATGGTGTAGAAGGGGTTGGATTTAAACAAATGGTGGAATACGATTATGTTCCTGGTTATTGCTTTATTTGCAAGCACCAGGGACACTTTGAGAATCAATGTTTGAAGAGATTTTCTAATGCTGATGCTAATAAGATTGATGGAAAGCTAAATGTTGCACAAGCTGTAATGAAAGAGCATGCTACTGGAATTGTAAATGCTGGTCTGATGGAGAAAAATACAACAGCAGCAACGAATGACTCTGTTACTACTGATAAGATTATTCATGTTGGAGAAACTAAGGGGAGTAAAAATAATAAGAATGGCCAGCCATCTATGGATCAGAACCTACCTGCAAGAGCCATGAGAATTAGGAATAAGAATTAGCAGAAGAGGTTGAAGGCCAACAGAAAAAAACAACAACCTAGATGGATTGTTAAAGAAGTTTTTTTAAAAGATGGATCCCAAAAAGCAACTACAAGCTGAAAAAGATATGCAGGAAGATATTCAAGAACAAATAACTGTGGCCGTATCTCTCAACCAATGGTGAACACTGCCGATGCTCTCACTTTAAAAAACTCTTTTCAACAACTCAATGATGATGGCAGTAAAAAGGTTGGTAGTGAAGAACGAGGAGGTAATGCAACTGAAGGAAACGACATAGTATGGTGAAAAAGAAATACCGGATAAAATTCCCATTCAACAACAACTGATTTCTCAAGGTAAAAGCATTGCCAAGACGAAAAATCAACTTCAAGAAAAGCATGCACAAGTAAGGACAAAAGATAATTCAAACAAGTCCAACATCAATAGAAACATGGAGGAAGGGTTAAAAAGTCACACTCCTTCATTCAATCATGATACCAACACTCCTCATAAGTGCCTGGAAAGATCCACCAATTCACGAAATCACAAATCTATAACTATACAAGAAAGTGACAAGGAAGAGTTACAAGAAATTTCTGTACAAAGCTCTATACAGAAAGAGGAACGAACTACTATCCGCAAGAGTCAAGCTGAGAGTTCTAAAAATGTCAAGAATCAGGAGAGGACCATTGATTTTCAAGAACCAACCACTATGGAGAACATTATCAGATATCAACCTATATCTATGAAAGATGCGCATTGCATTTTATCATACATGAGAGGAATTAATCTTTTTGTGGATCTAAAGTGCAATGAAGGCATCAATGTGACCATTACCAACTCTAAGTCAGATCATGACGATGCTAATGAGTTCCACAATAGTCAAAAAGAAGTCGAAGGCAAAAATTCTAGTGAATATGAATCAAGTCAGGGGAAGCAAGAGATAGTGATAGTGATGATGAATATCAGGAGGAAGGGGAAGAGGAATACGAAGAATGTAATTCTACCGATGAAGATGAACTCCTCAAAACTTTTGCCCCAAAAACTGTATGGCATGGGAAAATCAGTGAAGACGCAATCATCAAACAGAAAAACAATCTTATGACTTGAAATTTATCTCTAAGAAGTGCAAAAGAGAAACTCCCGAATCAAGCAGGCACTGTCACCAGAGCAAAGGGTAAAGCCAATCAAAATATGATGACCTCCCATAATGTTTTTAATGATTAGCACGTTATCTTGGAATATTAGAGGGGTGAAATCAATGACAGCTTTTGAAAGATTGAAATTTTTATCCAAAATTTATAAAACTCAGTTTTTTGCAATTCAAGAACCTTTTGTACAAGCTAACAAAAAAGAGCATTACAGAAGAAACTTAGCTTTTGAGGGATGTTTGGCAAACTGCAATGGTAATATTTGGTTTTTTTGGGCTATGGGATTTACTGTTATAGTAGTCATGAATGATGAAAAACAAATTACTGTTAAGTTGTCCAACACTTCCTCCAATAAGATCTTTTATCTCACTTTTGTCTTTGCCAAATCAAAACACCACCTAAGAACACCTTTATGAGATAGCCTAAGACACTGCAGTAGTCTTATAAATGGGCCTTGGTGTATTAGTGGGGACTTTAACATGATTATGAGCCCTGATGAGAAGAAGGGTGGGAAACCCCATCAAATAGAGAAAATTTGGGATTTTATAACATGTATGGATGATTGTGGAATGGTAGATGCTGTTTCTACAGGTCTCAGATTTACTTGGTGCAACACCAGGGGTAAACCTTACAGAATTTGGAAGAGACTTGATAGAGTATTCTTTAATCACCAGTGGACAGACTTGTTTTCCAGTAGTGACATAGAACACTTGGCAAGCATGGGCTCAAATCATACTCGACTAAATGTTTTAATTCTAACTTTCGAGGGATTAAATACTTTAAATTCCTCCAATTTTGGACAGAACAACCTGAGTTCAGAAATGTAGTTAAAGAAGCTTGGGGCGTGGAATTCCAGGGGAACAACATGTGGAAATTTCAACAGAAACTCAAGAATTTAAGCAGAAAGTTGAGCATCTGGTCAAAGGAACACATTGGTTATGTATTTGATCTCGTGAAGGATTGAGAAACTAAGATGAAAAAATTGAAGGCTGATTATATTGACAATGAAATTGATAATCTCAAGGAACAATTACACAAGGCTCAAGTTTGAAGAATCCATTCTCAGCCAAAAGGATAATATTAGATGGCTTGAAGAAGGAGATGCTAATACCAAATATTTTCATGCAATTATCAATGAGAAAAAAAAGGAGACTGAATATTCAGAGGATTCAAAACAGGAAGGGCAATGGATTAATGGTGATGATGATATCTCTACAGAGGTTGTTAATCACTTTACTCAACTATTTCAAGAAGATGGTGAACCTGAGCTTCAGTATATTGATTGTTTTGATCAAAGTATTAATCAACATGACAATATTATGTTATGTGCCATGCCGCAAGAACTTGAGATCCGAGAAGCAGTGTTTGCTCTTAGCCCTAACTGTGCACCTGGCCCCGATGGGTTCAGGGATTCTTTTTATCTAAACTGTTGGGACATTATCAAGGAGGACCTAATAAATGTTATTCAAGATTTTTTTAATGGGGCAAATCTTACCAAATTTTATACAAGCATCTGCCTAATTCTTCTGCCAAAAGTGGAAAGTCCTTCATCTTTTTGTGATATGAGACCTATAAGCCTTAGTAGCTGATCCAACAAGATCATTCCCAGAATTTTGAGTACCAGGCTAAATCTTTTATTACCTAAAGTCATCTCAGAAAATCAGTTAGGTTTTATTAAAGGAAGATCGATCACAGACAATATTCTTTTAGCCCAGGAGATTATCCATGCTATTAACAAGAAGACTTGGGGTGGAAATGTGGTGATCAAACTTGACATGGCAAAGGCTTACGATAGGGTCAATTCGAATTTTCTAATCGCTGTTACGAGAAAGTTTGGGTTTGCTGAGAAATGGTTCGATTTGGTTTGGAGATCCATCTCTAATGTTTGGTACTCAGTCTTAATAAATGGTGTCAGGAGAGGCTTTTTCCATTCTACAAGAGGTGTTAAACAAGGAGATCCATGGACACCTAAACCAATAACTGAACAACATAATTTTTTAGATTTAGACTGTGTAGTAGATATAAATAAAACAATCCAATTATGGATGGGATATTTATCAAAACAATTAATAGATAACAAAATAGGAATGACAGAAACACCAGGATATATAGAAAGAACACTTATAGGAACAGTAAAATTATGGTTACAAAATTTATCAGATGAAAGTATAAAAACTTTAAGAAGTAATAAAAAATTTGATGGTGAAATAGCTACTACAATTATGGAAATATTATATATATACGAAGTAGATATAATAAACGAATTTAGTAGTATGACAACAGAAATAGAAGAACAAAATAAAGAAAAAATCATAAACCGGAATCTAATGACAAAATTAGCAATATGTAACATGTGTTATATAGATGGATATACATGTGCATTTAGAGAATACTATTATAAAGGAACATATAGCATAGAAGAAAGTAAAGAAATAAGAAAATTATATTTACAAAATTACCAGAACCTTTTAATTCAAAAGTAATAAAAAGTTGGAATGAAGCAGGATTAACAGATACCTTAGGAACTAGAATGAAATTTTTACAACGATGGTTTATAGAACTATGTGAAAAACATAAGGAAGAAATAAAAATGGAAAAAATATTGGTAAAAAACTTAGCATGTTGCAAAAATAAAACAACACCCCAATTCGGTTGTACAGACAGATACTATAAAAATAAATATAATAAAAAATATAGATCAAAATATAAATATAAAAAACCAAGAAGAAGATACTATGTAAAAAACTATAAAACTAAAAAACCATATAGACCAAAGAAAAAATTAACAGAATGTACTTGTTACAATTGTGGAAAATTAGGACATATAGCTAAAAATTGTACATTACCTAAAAATCCAAAAAAAAAACAAATATCAGAAATACTGGTAGACAATGAAAAATATACACAAATAGAGTATGTAGATTATGAATTAGAAAGTGAAGATAGTATATATGAATTATCAGAAAATGAAACAAACAAAATGAAAAATAATTCAGTAATAGAATCAGATAATGAATACTATATAAATGACTGAAACAAATATACAAATAATAACTAAAGAAAAATATCAAGATGAAGAATTGGCAGAACAAAAAATAATATTTGATAATAATATATTTGAACAAATAAAAGGAAAAGAATTAGACCTAAGCGTAGAAAAAATATTCAAAATACCAACAATAAGAAATTGGTTTAAACGACAAAAAAAAGAATATTATGTAGTAAGTTAAAGAGAGCATATCGTAGATTGCAAATACACCAAAGGAAAGGCTAAAATACCAATAATAAACAAACGAATAATAAATAAAGAAATACAAGATATTAAGGCTAAAAACCCAATTAAATATGTACATTTAGGAGGAACAGAAACACTAATAAAAACATGTTTTAGAGAAGGAATAGATACACCCATAGAAATATACTTAGCGGATGATATAATTATACAACCTATAGAAAAAAGTATAATAAGTGCAGTAAAAGGTAATCTCATATACCAAAAATTTAAATTTATAATAAGTGTTAACTACTCAGTAGCAATAAATGACAGAAACATAAATAAATCACTAGTATTATATTGGAAAATGTCAGGGATAGAACTAGCCTCAGGTAGTAAAATATTTACAGTTAGATGTAAAAACTTATATGTTTTAACAACAAAACATAAAATAACAGCAAATAATAAAATAAAATAAAAAATAGAAAATCCTTTTGAAAGAATAGTTACAGTCATAGATAATAATGATTATATTTATAATGAGATTGATATAGAAGAAGATTTAGAAATAGTAAAAGAAAGATTAAGCACATCAAAAAGAATAAACTATTAAATACCCCAAATATCATCAAAAATGAGTATCTCAAGAAGAATAGATAAAACTCCACAAAAATCAATAGAAGAAGAAATAGAACCATATCATTACTACATAACGGGAGTAATGGAACAACGAAAATACTTAATATTAATAAATACAGGACAAGAAGAAAACTATGTTACAAGAGAATTAGTAATTGAAGATGAAATAATAACTACTGAACAATTATGCCCTAAACTACCAAAGGCATTAATATATACCGAAGAAACTACAAAAAAGAAAATAATCATTGGAGAAGTACCAATAGTAATAAAGTTTAAAGTATATCAAGGAGATAAAAATATCACTTTAGGAATAAAATGGTTAGAACAAGTAAAACCATATAATTTAGAAGACAAACAGTTAACAATAAATTATAATAATAAGAAGATAATAATAAAAAGAACTTTCTTATGATAAAAACATGAAAATATATATACTTGCAAAAATAATAATAGAAGGATATTACAACAAATATTATACACCAATGATAGACACACGAGCAGAAGCTAACATATGTAAATACAATTGCTTACCAGAAGATAAATGGGAAAAATTAAAAACACTGATAGTAGTAACATGATTTAATAATGAAGGAAGCATGATCACATATAAGACAAGAAATATAAAAATACAAATATGGAACAAGATATTACCTATAGAAGAAATATATAACTTTGAATTGACCAGAAAAGATATGCTATTGGGAATGCCATTTTTTGAAAAATTATACCCACATATAATAACAAAAACACACTGGTGGTTCACAACACCATGTAAACAAAAAATAGGAGCAAAAAGAGTGAATAACAAAAAACGGAAAACAACAGAATGGATAAAAGGTAGTGAAAAAATTACACAAAAATTAGAAAATATAAAAGAAGAAGACCCTAAAATAGAATTAATTATATTCTCTATAGATAAAGTAAAAATAATCCAAGATAAGTTAGAATTATTATATAGTGAGGATCCCTTACAAGGATGGGAGAAACATAAAACAAAAGTAAAAATTGAGCTAATTGATAATAATAGTATAATAACCCAAAAACCATTAAAGTATAATTTTAATGATTTAACCAAATTTAAGATGCATATAAATGAATTACTAGAAAAATGGTATATACAAGAAAACAATAGTAAGCATACAAGTCGGGCATTTACCATAAATAAACATAGTGAACAAAAAAAAGGAAAAAGCAGAATGGTTATTGATTATAGAAATTTAAATGCAAAAACTAAAACTTACAATTATCCAATACCAAATAAAATATTAAAAATAAGACAAATACAATGGTATAATTATTTTAGTAAATTTGACTGCAAATCAGGATTTTACCACTTAAAGTTAGAAGAAGAATCTAAGAAACTTACAGCATTTACAATACCACAAGGATTTTATGAATGGAATGTATTACCATTTGTATATAAAAATGCACCAGGTAGATATCAATAATTTATGGATAACAACTTTAAACAACTAGAAAATTGTATAATATACATTGATGATATATTATTATATTCCAAAACACAAGATGAACATATAATGTTATTAGAAAAATTTATACATATCATAGAATACTCAGGTATAAGCCTAAGTAAAAATAAAGAAGATATAATGAAAAAGCAAATAGAATTCTTAGGAATACAAATAGACAAAAATGGTATAAAAATGCAAACACATATAGTACAAAAATTAATAAATTCTGAAGAACAAATAGATACAAAAAAGAAATTACAATCGTTTCTAGGATTAGTAAATCAAGTAAGAAAATACATACCTAATTTAGCAGAAAATTTAAGACCATTGCATAAAAAAATAAAGAAAGATGTAGAATATCATTTTGATAATAAGGACCAAGAACAAATACGAAAAATAAAATCATTATGTAAAAAATTACCTAAACTATGCTTCCCAGATGAAAATAAAAAATTCACCTATATAGTAGAATCAGATGCAAGTGAAAGGAACTACGGAGGAGTATTAAAATATAGATATAATAAGGAAAAAGTAGAACACCATTGCAGATATTATTCAGGAACATTTACAAATCCCGAAATAAAATGGGAAATAAATAGAAAAAAATTATATTCAATATATTAATGTTTATTAGCTTTTGAACCATACATTGTATATAACAAATTTATTGTAAGAACAGATAATACGCAGGTAGAATGATGGATAACAAGAAAGGTACAAGATTCAGTAACGACCAAAGAGATACGAAGACTAATATTAAATATATTAAATTTTACATTTACAATAGATATAATATGTACGAACAAGAATGTTATTGCAGATTACATCTCAAGACAAAGCTACATAGATTGAAAAAGAAAATACTATAGAAGAAATACTCAAAGCTATGAACCTACTTTGCACAAAAGTAGAAAATATTGACAAAGAGCTACAACAAATAAAAAGTCAGCAGCATTACTATAAAAATGCAGAGCTAAGTCGATCAGAAGACTTAAAAATTCCAGAGCTACAAGGTGACGTTGGGAAACACCTAAAAACCCATAATGATTTGTTACAGGCAGCTACAGGAAGCACATCTGCAACAAAAGAAGAAAAAACCAAATATGTTAGTACTAATATGAATAAAATGTTCGAAAAACCGTTTATACCAAAAAATCAAAAAGATCCATTATTCATATCACCTCAGCCAAACACATATAAAGAAAGCCTAGGACAAAACAAAAAGACTTATAACCATATAACCAGAGCTTACATAGAAAAC